AGGGTTGCGATCCGTTGCCAGACACGAAAAAAGACAAAAAGGGAAAAAAAAAAAAAAAAAAACTACAATGAAATACCACTTTATATCCACTAGGATGGAGTTAATAAAAAATATAGAAAATAAGTGTTGATGAGGATGTAGAGAAATTGGAACCCTCATATACTGCTGGTGGGAATGTAAAATGGTGCTGCTGCTGTGGAAAACAGTTTGGCAGTTCCTTAATAATTTAAACACAGAATTGCCATATGACCCAGCAATTCCACTCCTGGGTATATACCCAAAAGAAAACAGGTGTTCAAACAAAAATATGTATGTGAATATTCATAGCAGAACTATTCACAATAGTTAAGAGTTGGAACTAACCCAAATATCCATCGACTGATGAATGAATAAATAAAATGTGGTAGCCCATACAATGTGATGTTATTCAGCCATGAAAGGAATGAAGTACTGTACATGCTACAACATGAATGAATGTTGAAAATATTATGCTGGGTGAAAGAAGCCAGATTCAAAAGGCCACATATTGTATGATTCAATTTATATTTAATATCCAGAACAGGCAAATCTAGAAAGACAAAAAGCAGATTAGTGGTTGCCAGGGGCTGGGGGAGGGGGAAATGAGAGTAACTGTTCATGGATAAGTGGTTTCCTTTTGGGGCAATAAAAATGTTCTGGAACTAGATAGTGGTGATGGTTGTGCGACATTGTGAATGTACCAAAATGGTTACAATGATGAATTTTGCATTACTTGTGTTTTATGATGATAGTAAAAGAGGTTCTCCTTCCCCAGGCAGCCACAGCCCCTACAAAGTAGCCTAGGAAGGAAAATGTGGGCTGGATTTCAGTCTCCCTCACCCCCTCAGCAGAGTATACACTGATGTGACCATTATCAGGCAGCCTCAAAATGCCACATGAGGAGTGCAGACAGGGGACATCGCTGTGAGTTAGAAAAGTCTTCCCAGGTGAGCTGGGGTTTAGCAAGCCTTGTGAGCCAACCTTAAAGGATGAGCCAGGGTCAGATAGCAAGGGGAGGAGGTTGTTGCAGACAGCAGAAAACTGCAAGAAAAAGAGGCAGGAGGTGTACGTTGTTGGAGAGGAGTGGTTCAGGCCATTTGGTGAACTGTCTTTCTCTGCAGACTACAGAGTTTGGACTTCATCGTGCAGAAGTGGACCAGCAAATTGATTGCGGGCTGCTGGGGTGGTGTGTGGTTTGGCAAAGCCTCGTGTGTGTGTGTGTGTGTGTGTGTGTGTGCACATTTGAATCAGAATGGCTTTAGGAAATCATGCACTTTCTAGCCACAGGCTGCACCCCTCCGTCTCGCTTTACACTACCCTGGTCCATACCTTTTTGCCTGGGTCTTCAAGCACTGGAGTGGATCCACTTCAGACCCATCTTCAGGAAGACGAATGTGCTCTCCCTCCATTGACCACACAGCTGTAAAGAGAAAAATACAACCTAAGTATCTCCTGGGCTGAAAAAGAGAATGAAACTACACATTTCCATGGATTTCGTAGTATTTGCCCCACACTATCCAGAGAAAATGATCCTATTTCAGTATCTTCCGGAATGCTCACATTCCCTGTGCTAAGGCAACTTGGAGAATACTCCTCAAGCCTGCCTTAGCCACCAGGCCCAGGGCTGCAGCTCCCGTCCTCCCCAGACAAGGCAAACCCAGGAAGAAGTGGGAACAGCAGCTGAGCTGGAGCAAGGCAGGGCTCAGCTGGCTTCAGGAGCCCCGCAGAAACTCTCCAGGCTCCGAAGACTGGTTAATTAACTAGAATGCTAATTGATTCATGAGCAGGGATACATGGAGCCACCAAGCACGCTGAAATACTTGCGCTCATTAGTCATTAGTCTCCAGGATGAAATCTCTTTGAGAAAACAAAAAAGCCTTCGTTGGTGGGATGCGCTGAGTCAGAGAAAAGCGAGTAGTAGGCTCCTTTGGGTAAGGTCATGTTCAGATGTGTACTTTGTGGTTAACCAGGGGGTGCTGCCAAGTCAGACTATGCCTGCCAGCTGTTCGGGAGCCCCCTCTTCTGGACACTGCTGGTACCACACTTTTCCTCCAACTTTTCCCCAGACCCTTAATAATCTTCGGTTGTGACATCCATATTCTTCACCTTCTGTCCTAAAGTCGAGTTTTGAGAATTGTCTTAACTAATAACAGTATTGTTTTAACAGTCCTATTGCTTCCTAATATATGGAGGCCTTTTGATTTCAGGAGCAGGTTACAGATATAATTACACTGTACATGGGCACCTATTATTTCAATATTGTATTTTATACTCTTTATATTGATCACTGAGGTAGAAAGTAGAGAATGTTTTTTACAGTTTTCAGATGAGGGAACTAAGATGTCGTACAATGAAGTAATTGCATCATGTTCAAAACTTTGTCTTAACTTCCAAGCCCGTACCCTTAACTTTCTTCCATGTGTCCAAATCACGCTCTACAATGGGTAGCTTCTGGGAAGGGTTCCAGTAGGTGACTAACCCATCCCATAATAAGTTATTATTTCAGGGGGGGTCACTTCTTGATATTATAGCAGTATCTGGGGTGAGGGTAGGGGGTATGAGCAGGCAGGTAAGGAGAGTCTATCTTATTTTCAGCCCAGAGCAACAAAGAACCACATTCTGGATTTTGAAAGACAGTCTTAATTTCATCTAAGTTTATGTCATTAATAAGATAGCTTATTAAGTGCTTTACTAGAGGTGATTGCCCATGTACATATGAAAGAACTTTCTTATGAATAATCCCCAAATCAAAATACATCCTTTCTTAGGCAATTGTTTGATTTTACATTAGGAAAATGCACTCATTGAAACTCAGGCTCACATCTCACTCTACTCCAGGGATGGAAAAATCCCAGAGCTACTTCTAAGATTCAAGATTCCCTGACTGAGGCATGTCCTTCCAGTGTGCTGTGTTTGCAGCAGATTTGTTCATTAGCTACATTAATGTCCTAGGAGATCTTGGTGCATCGCGCCTTTGCTATATTGTGTTTCTGGAATTTAAGAATGTCCATCAGGAGAAAACCTCCTCACAGTGTATCCAGGATGCCAAGTCATTCTCGCCCATCACTTTTTTTTTTTTAATTTTATTTTGTCAATATACAATGAGGTTGATTATTGTGGCCCATCACCGAAACCTCCCTCCCTCCTCCCTCTCCTCCCTCCCACCCAACAATGTCCTTTCTGTTTGCTTGTCTTATCAACTTCAAGGAATTGTACTTGTTATATCTTTTCCCCACCGCCCCAGTTTTTTGTGTGTGTGTGTGTGTGTTTGAATTTATTTATTTATTTTTAGTTCCCACCAATAAGTGAGAACATATTGTCGTATCAACTTCAAGGAACTGTAGTTGTTATGTCTTCTCCCCCCCGCCCCAGTTTTTTTTGTGTGTGTGTGTGTTTGAATTTATTTATTTATTTTTAGTTCCCACCAATAAGTGAGAACATGTGGTATTTCTCTTTCTGTGCCTGACTTGTTTCACTTAATATAATTCTCTCAAGGTCCATCCATGTTGTTGCAAATGGCAGTATTTCATTCGTTTTTATAGCTGAGTAGTATTCCATTGTGTAGATATACCACATTTTCCGTATCCACTCATCCAATGATGGACATTGGAACTCTCATACATTGTTGGTGGGACTGCAAAATGGTGCAGCCTCTATGGAAAATGGTATGGAGGTTCCTCAAACAATTGCAGATAGATCTGCCATGTGACCCAGCTATCCCTCTGCTGGGAATATACCCAGAGCAATGGAAATCATCAAGTCGAAGGTATACCTGTTCCCCCATGTTCATCACAGCACTCTTTATAATAGCCAAGAGTTGGAACC